AGAAAAATGTAGGCAAGAAATAGAAAATTTAGACAAAAATAAAAATGTGTTAAGTCTTATTTTGTTGTGTCAGCAATAGAGATGTCATATTGCTTATGACTGCTGTGAACCTTTCAATTCAGTGACATTCAGAGCTTGTAGCATCTTATGAGATAAAGGTCTGCTTTTGTTAAAAAATGTCAGCACATTAGAAACAAATTTATTTAATGATATTTAAAAAGATATTGTTCACAAAGTATTTTCTTCAGGTGTGGAAATCACGGGGGAGATAATTTCAGCATGTTCTGGGTCAAAATATGAAAACATTATGGAACAAGTTACCTCACATGATGTGACAATGTCATTGGCCAAGTTGAGGAGCATGAATATTAGAATTTATGATAAATAATGAAAGCTCATAAAATAATAAATACTGATCAAGCATGGTTAACCTTGACATGACTTTGATAATCCTAAGTGCATTTTATTTCATATTAAGCTTTTTAGGATGTAAATGTCTGTATAAAATATTAAACAAATAGTTTTGGGGATTTTTGAAAGAAATATGAATTCCTCAATCTACTTTAAACTATAATTAACATAGCTTTTTTATTAAATACTATTCAATAAGTACATATATAAATTAATATTGTCCACTAACTGATTTATTTTTTTACTAATTTTTTATTTAGTTTTATTTGATTCCAGATCTTAGCTCATAACTACCAAGATTAAAATTCCATCCTGACTATGATGTCTCTAACTTATCTTTAACTATAAATTTTCTCTATTCCTAATTATTCTACCTATTATATCAGTTGAGTGTAAAATAAAAGTTATTAATCTGATGACTGCTGTACTGCTCTCACATTGGTTGAGTGTAGAAATAATTATTAATTGATGGCTGCATTTGGCTTCATTTATTCCTTTTATAGACTATACTGCTCACCTACTTATATTATCTTACTAGCCTCTGTAGACATTATTAGAATCCTACTAAGTGATCTTATCAAATCTATAAAACCTCTTTTTGAAGTAAGCACTTTCTCCATTCTATAAAAATGAGAAGTAAATGAGGACTAGATAGGTTAATTAATTTGCCTATATTAGTAGAATTTGTTCTATTTCCAAAGTTTTTGATGTCATATTCATTCTGCCTTTTTATGTAAAAAGGCAGATTGATCTATTTTAAGACCCTTTCCTTTATTTCTAAAGTAGGCAGATACTTCCTAAGCATTTCATACAACTTTCAAAATATTTGGAAACAGGCAGCTGCATTTTACCATGTTTTTAAATCTCAGTACTATGAATTGCACTTAATTCATTTTTATAATAATTTCTAGCTTATGAGAATTGTATATTTATATAATTTATTTATTTAAGTAATATTGCAGAGTTTAACACTTTAGACCATTTTTAAAGATACTTAAAATGACTTTTTAGTTCATAATAAATTATAAATAATCAAGATACTGATTTTTGTTAAAAATACAGTTGACTAAAATTAATTTATTGGAACTAATTCAAGTGAACATTGTTGCAGTAGCCTAATATTTCCAACTGTAACACTATTTGTGACAATAATAAAAAGATGCAGATACCATTATAGTATATTTATTATGATATACTTAATAATATACGATTATATTTAGATATTGTATTTCAATATTTGAAAACAGCTGGATTAGTCATATTCCTTACTACAATCCTAGCAATGTGTGATTTAATCTGTCCTCAGTGCTTAATGCACACAGTAGTTTAAAAGCTTTTTGAAGAAGCCTATGTTCACACTGCTTTTCATTTACCTTCATATTGAAGATGAATCATTATCACTTGGGAGCTGACTTCACTTGGGAACGAAAATATGTCAAGTGCTTATGCTATGTACAAGATGTTTTCAAATAAATAATATACTACTTCTATCCAAATCCTTCCATATAATTTATATCTTCCCCTACTCCCTGTTATGAGCAACACACAATCCCCTATGGCCCACTTCTACTGTTCTTTGCATTTAAATCCTACCTATATTTCACTCCATTAAATCTTAGTTTTCAAAACCTATCCCTAATGTAACTGTAAAGTATATTATTTTGAAGCACTTTTTTTGTAGTTCAATTTCTCACATGAGAAAACTTCTAGTGAGGTTTGTTGACAAAGTTGGACACTGTAAATCAAAGTTTCCCAATTCAAAGATTAGGGTAGAAGAGAAACACAAACTCTGTAGCCATATAATACTTTGCATGAATTGTTCTCTTATCAGTATCATGTTGCTGGGAAATGTAGTATAAAAAAATTGATTGCTGCTACTGTAAGTTCTTTATTATTTAGAAAACAGCTGGATGATTTTTCTGAAGCTATAACTAAACAAAGTAAATCTGTGTTGTGATATTTACCCCAAAATTTGTAAATCTCCAATTTTTCTCCTAACTACATGAGATTCAATACCTCTCTTCTCTGCATCTTTAAAAAAAAAAAAACAGGAAAAAAGTGCATTACAGAAGATTTTTCAAAATATAATAAGAATATAAACTGACTCAATGTAAAGAGAAACTAAAGCATGACTTTAACTTTGGGACAAAAGTAGACTCTTGCAAATTATTTTAATATTTATTTAAATTATCTTAATATCTACACTAAAGAAAAAAAGTATTTCAAATAGCTGACTCAGTTAATTCTTAAATGTAAATATAAGCAATATTTCATATTTCAATATGTAATAATAATAAATGTCCACACATACTTACATATATATATCTAAATCGATATCATCTATGTGTAAATCTATATGTACCATTCAATTTGAAAACTCTCTACGTTCTAGCATTTACTAGGCTTTCCTGTTTCTTTTTAAAGATGTATGCCAATCTTTCTAGCATTTCAGAAAATAAACTTGAGTCAGAGGTAGAGCTACTTTTATGTCTAGCACTGTGTGTGTGTGTATCTAAGTAGAAATCTCTTAAGTACCTGCATTTATTCCATATTAAAGATGAAGAAATTAAACCTCAGAGAGGCTATATAGTAGTATCATATTATTGAGCAGTTATATGATTTCAACCCAAATCTTACAGCCAAATTTACACTCTTCCAATACATCAAAGCTTTTTTTCAGTTATGTATGGTATCTTATCACCACTAAAAAAACCTCTGAAATTATTTTTGGTGGATTTGATCCTTAAATAAGCTGCATAATTTATATACACAAGTTACACGTGTAAATATGCTACTTACAGTCTCAAAAAAAAAATCCAAATCTTTCACTTTTATTTTATCTTTTGTATAAGATAATTTTTAAAGTTTCAAAAATATAAATATAACAAGGTTTGCACTGGCACATGTCATAAAAATATTACTTCTATTTTAACAGTGTACTAATAATATATAATCTCAGAAATCTATCTAAAACATTATTTAAGAGATTAAAGTGATAAATAAAATAAATCAAAGAGAAAAAGATATTAGAAATTTTTTATAATAAAATCACATTTTGATTACTAAATTTATGAGTAAAATTGTATTAAATTTTTCTCTCATGTCTTCCGGAAATTTTCATGCTGAAACTTGTATGATACATTAATTAAAGAAACTATGGCTAGATGTTTTACTGTTGTAACTAGGAAAATATAATAAAAAATACATGGCAAACATTACAGGAAAATAAGAATATAGAGTTGATATTAAAATCTGTTTCCCAAACATCATCATAAAAAACAAAGAAAACTAAAGTTTTAACTTCTTGTCACCTAAAATTAATTTTTAACAGAAAACGAATAGTACATTGGTACTTGGCAGGGCTACATAAGAGGAATAAAGAAATTATAGTGGACCTCATCTAGGTCTCTAAATCCAGTTTTTTCTACTTACAGACTTTTCTTTTCAGATTTTTGCATATAATGATGGTTTTCCTAGCTAGACAAAATAAAGATAAATCTACGTTGGAGTTGGAGCCTAGTAAGGTCCTCTTTCCTCATTGGCTCTACTTATATCTATATTCACTTGTGTATTTAAGAAAGAATAAGAAGACTTCTGCGTCAGTGCTTTAACCTTATTCAAAAACTAGTTTACGAAAAATGAACCTGCCAACTTAAAAAAATCCTCAAATGACAGACTCTTGCAAAATAAAACTAAAGAGCAGAAAGTGAGGTGTAGAGTCATTCCAAGGACATGTAGATCCTATTTCCAAACAACCATGCTGAGGCATGTGAGGACCAGGGAAAGAGAATCCCTGTACATTTGCTTAAAGAGAGTTCCCTGGATAAATGCTATAAGAGTACTTTGAGTTCTGAACAATTCAGCTGTCATAAAAATTAATCCATCTTTGTCATCGCCACCTCATCCATATGCCTTTTGCCAAGTAATTTTTTTTTTAAGGACAGGACATTTTTCTTATAACTTCAGGAGACAATCAAATGACATGGACTGTTATGACAAAGGATTTGTAACACTAAACCAAGAACAGGCACAGAGTAGTGGTGGAGCCCAGAGCAGTAAATGTCTTTGGTGGCAGTTACCACGTCCCTGCTGCAGAGAAAGACGCTGTGCAACTATTGGCCAGCAACTCCAACACAACCAATAGAAAAAGAAAGTAGTTCATTCAACCTGCAGGATACCCCTTGGATATATCTGAAGGCCCTGTCTTCTCCAAATATTATTGAGCAGAGGGATTTTTCCAAGGATTCAAATTTCTCTATGAACAAATGGGAAGACAGGGTCTGAATCATCATTTGTACACTTGCAAAAAAAAAAAGAGAGAAAGAAAATCATTCTAGTGTTGTAATGAAAATTTTACAAGCTTTGTTTACGTCTTTGCATCTCTTTCTAGTATTACAACATTCCTATCATTATTACATATAAAAGTTATTTGTTTTAACACACATGCACGTCACAGAGTTTTATGGTGTCTTTACTTTTTGAAAAAAGCTTCAAAAATTGTATACTCTAAAAAGCTGTAAAGTCGATTATGTGTGTGTGTGTGTGTGTGTGTGTGTGTGTGTGTGTGTGTGTGTGTGTGCAATACATACGGGTCTTTCTTGCAGAATCTTCCACAAAAAGAGAAGAAATATCTTCATCCACTCCCGCCTCATTCCTGGCAATGCAAGTATACGCTCCTGTATCTTCATAGCGCACATTGCTTATGTGAACCTCACTGCCATTTGCTGTAAACAGAAAGCAAATGCAACGTGTAAACCAGAATTTTAGTTTTAGTACAGTGCTTTCTGATTACACAGTCAAACAGTTCTCTTAGCTTGTCCTAATTAAATTGTTTTCCTTCCTGCTTCCATATTTGGAGACAGGCCAAATTATTCCAGAACCGTTCAAGTGTTTGTAAACTGTGTTGTCATTCGATTACTGAAAGTCCCATACTCCCTAGCAAATACACACACTTTATATTTTTTAATCCTCCTTATTTCCCACATTGTATATGAAGTACATCATGTTGATAACTATATTTTCATTTATGTATCACTTTTCCTATTCAGATCCCATTTTTTCCTGAGATTTTATAGAAATTTAATAATAGCAATATATTTGCATAAAATACCTATGAAAAGATATTGTCATAGAGAAATTAATTAAGTTACATCATATAGATATGCTATTGCCATTCCTCAAGCCTATCAATGAGTTTTAATTACATATTTGGAATTATTAGGTGAGGAAGAATAGAGGTAATCACACATGATTTGCCTACAAGAGTTTCAGTCTTTTGTCAGAACTATACCTAAAATAAAATATGGAAATTACTCTAGTCAGTATATGACCAAAGGCTTAAGGGAATGATTGATCTAGCTTCTAAATCTTAGTATAGCAACATTTTAAGCTAATCCTTGACTAATGAATTGTATTCCCCAATATGGAAAATTGGGTTGACAACATGTTAGGCACTTTCTCATATATATTCTTTTTTTTTTTGAGTTGGAGTCTCACTCTGTCGCCCAGACTGGAGTGCAG